GTTTTACTTTTATGTCTGATCCATTTTGAGTTAATTTTTATGAATGATATAAGGTCTGTTTTTGATTCATTTCTTGCATATGGATGACTACTTGTGCGGCACCATTTGTTGAAAATACTAACTTTTCTCCTTTATGTTTATCATTTTGGAAGACCCTATTTATGATTCAGGGTAAAGTAAAGGTGAAATAGTTTAGTATAGAGATTATAAATGCCATGAGAAGTCATGTTTAAAAAGAGCCTTTTCGGGGCGCCTGGGTGGCTAAGTCGGTTAAGCGTCCGACTTCAGCTTAGGTCACGATCTCGCGGTCCTTGAGTTCGAGCCCCGCGTCGGGCTCTGGGCTGATGGCGTGGAGCCTGGAGCCTGTTTCCGATTCTGTGTCTCCCTCTCTCTCTGCCCCTCCCCCGTTCATGCTCTGTCTCTCTCTGTCTCAAAAATAAATAAAACGTTAAAAAAAAAAATAAAAAAAAATAAAAAGAGCCTTTTCTCTAAACTTTATATGTGGTTTAAAATTTTTTAATTCATTAATTTATTATTTTTATTGAAGTATAGTTGACATACAACATTGTTAGTTTCATGTGTACAACATTGTGATTCGACATTTGTTTACATTACAAAATGGTCACTATGATAAATCTAGTTATTATCACCATATAAAGTTATTACAATACTATTGACTGTATTTCCTCTGCTGTACTTTACCTCTATGACTTACTTGTTTTATAACTGGAAGTTTGTACCTCTTAACTCCCTTTGCATATTTTTCCTGTCCTCCTACCCCCTCCCCTCTGTAACCACCAGTTTTCTCTCTGTATTTATGAGTTCATTTCTGTTTCTGTTCTGATTTGTTTTTTAGACTCTACATATAAGTAAAGTCATACGGTGTTTGCTTTTCTCTGCCTGACTTATTTTTACTTAGCATAATACCCTCTAGGTCCATCCATGTTGTCACAAATGGCAAGATTTCGGGCACCTGGGTGGCTCAGTCGGTTGCGCATCTGACTCTTGATTTCTGCTCAGGTCATAATCTCAGGGTTATGGGATTGAGCCCCGTATAGGGCTCCACCGTGAGCATGGAGCCTGCTTAAAATTCTTGCTCTCTCTCTCTTTCCCCCACTCATATGCTAGCTATTTCTCTCTGTTAAAAAAAAAAAGTCAAGTTTCATTCTTTTTTTATGGCTGAGTATATGTTTCATTATGTAGATGTATATTTTTTATATATATTTTATAAATTTATATATATATATTTATATATATTTGAATAATATATATCCACCCAACACCACATTGTCTTTATCCATTCATTATTGATGGACACTTAGGGTGCTTCCATATCTTGGCTATTGTAAATAATGCTGCAGTGAAAATGCGGTGTGTGTATCTTTTTGAATTATTGTTTTTGTTTCTTTGGGTAAAGTCCAGATTTGGAATTGCTGGATTGTCCGGTATTTCTATTCTTTTTTTTTTTATTTCAACTTTCTGTAATGGTTTAATCCCTTAAAAATTTTATTTAGTATTTAATGAAGCTAAAACTAATTTATGTGATACAGTCATTTTCTGGTTGAAAAATACTTCTAACTCTTTTTTTTCTCTTAAGTCTATATCCTGGTTGTTACTGGCTATGCATACTATACAACCATATAATGTTTCTTATATTTCAGCCATTAAAAAAAATTATTTTAGGTAGAGAGAGAGAATGAGCAGGGGAGAGGAGCAGAAGGAGAGAGAATCTTAAGCAGGATCCATGCTCAGCACAGAGCCTGAGGTAGGGCTTGGTCCCAGGACCCTGGGATCATGACCTGAGCTGAAATCAGCAGTTGAACACCCAGGGCAACTGGGTGGCTCAGTCAGTTAAGCGGGCCGACTCTTGATTTCAGTTCAGCTCATGATCTCATGGTTCGCAGTTCAAGCCCCACATCAGGCTCTGTGCTGACATTGCAGAGACTGCTTGGGATTCTCCCTCTTCTTCCACCTCTGCCCCTAACCTGCTGTCTCTCTCTCAATAAATAAATAAATAAATACACAAACAACAACAAAAAATGGGTGGTGCCCCTAGTTTAGTCATTTAAAATGGGCCCAAAACAGGTATCATCTCTCTTAGGGTTTGTGTTAGTTTTCTATTCCTGCTGTAATAAATTGCCACAAACTTGGTAATTTAAAACAATATAAATGTATTCTCTTATATTTCTGGAGATCAGATGTTGGAAATGAGTTTCTGGAGATCAGATGTTGGAAATGAGTCTTGTGGGCCTAAAAGCAAGTTGTTGATGGGGCTGATTTCTTCTGCAGGTTCTTGGGGAGAATCCACTTTTCTGTTTATCCAGCTTCTAGAGACTTTCCTTATTCCTTAGCTCTTGGCTCCATATCACAGTGCCTTTTCTCCCCCCCCCCTTTTTGTTTTTTGGTCACATTGTCTTCTCTGACATTGTCCCTTTTACTTCTCTCTTATCAGATGCTTATGTTTATATTGGGCTCACCTGGATAATCTAAAATAACTTCCCCATTCAACCATCCTTAACTTACAAAATTCCCTTTTGCTGTATAAGTTTACATATTCCTAGGTTCTGGAGAGAAGGGTGTAGTCGTTTTTGGGGGCCTGCTATACAATTGAAGAGATAATCAAATGTAGGTGTTTTGCTACATTTGCATAAATGTATTTCTTTGAATTTTTTGTCCTAATGTTCTATTCATATTTACTATTTTGTAATTATCGCTCCTTATTAGTTATTTCATATTTTATTTTTGAAGTTTATTTCCTTCCTTTAATTATTATTATTTTTTTTATTTTGCATTTTTCCCTATTGGTCTTTAGGAATTTGATTTACAGAAGGTTAATGGTAGTAGTAATGGTTTTAGAGCATTATTATTTTCAAGTATAATTTCCTATTAATTGGTATACTTTTGTGAAATCATTCACCCTCTTTTTTGGACTCATTCTGCAGGTACATAAATACATGTTTTTACCATCTTACCTGGTACATTTTAAATTGTGCCCTATCCTTCTGTCATGCGATTCTTTTGGTGGTGAGGAGATACAAAGAAGGAACCTTCAAGAAGCTTTAAGTTCATATGGGTGTAATTTTTTCCAGAACTCAGTCCTTATGAATTTGTGTTCACAAAAGTGACCTTTAAAAATGAACTTTCTCTGAAGAGATTCACAGAGAAAAAGATCTATAACCAATTTATTATGAAGAAAGGACTTATTACTTAATATGCAAACCAGTAGGAATTTATCAGGAAATCTGTGTGGATTTAGAACACAGTTCACGGACTGTTGAATGATGATGATATAAATGATAATTGCTACTTACTGAATTCTTACTTGATGGGAGGCACTATGCTAACAAGTTTTTAAATATTATCTCATTGTATTCAGAACAACCCTGACAATTTGGTATTATTATCAATTTTTCCCATGCTAAAACTGAAGATGAGAAAATCAACATGATTAAGCCATTAAATTGAATCTGTTCTCATTTGATATAATTATACTCTTACCATTATGCCATGATGATTTTACTTGGGAGGTAGTAATGAGCTCTGACAGTATGGTATATCCTTCTTCATTACTTTGGCCATGAACTCGACTGGTTAGGGCGATTTGTCTTTTGAACATTGCTAGGTTTCTGTTATAAATAATCTTGGGCTGCCTGGGCGTCTCCTTTAAGCATCTGACTCTTGATTTCAGTTCAGGTCATTATCTCATGGTTCATGAGATTGAGCCCTGCATCAGGCTCAGTGCTGACAGCGCAGAGCCTGCTTGGATTCTCTCCCCGTCTCTTTCTCGCCCTGCTCACCTTCTCTCTCAAAATAAATAAACATTAAAACAAAAACTTTGCTCATTAGTTCTTTTCCCAAATTTCACTCAATTCTCCACCTGAGTTCTCTTTTTGTCAGTTTCACCTGAAACTCATTGCAGTATAATGAGGAGATTTTAGCTCTCCTAATAGCATTCCCTGAGGTTGTACCCTGTTCAATTTGATTGAAATTGAGTTTTCAAAATATTGATCAACATTGTATGTATAAACAGATCTCTCTTAGTGGGCATTTCTTCTGCCTATGATTACTTATTCAATTAGTATCGATCCAGATAAATTCCAATTTAAGAAAGTAACATTTTCTGATCTTATTGTCCAGTTTTGAAGTTTTCCCTTATTGACAGTCTGTTGTCACTTACATATTAATTACCTATTTTCAATGGTACATGGCACAGTTCTTTAAGATATTAGTATACTATATATAATAGTGTTTCTAGAGGTGTTTGTTCCCCACCACCACTCCCTGTTTTCTTGTGGCTTTAATGTGGGTGAATTAGTTTGAAATTCCCTTTGGGGCAGATTTCAAGGTATAAAAGGTCACAGAAAGGCAACATGTGGCCTATGTAGTTCTGTAAAGAATTGGGGAAGTATATTATCTTTATAGTGATGTATTGGAAAGATCTGGGGACTTATGCTCATTTCCTCAGTGACAGCTCAGTCCTGAGTCCTCATCACAACAGCTTTCTTCAACTCTTAAAACACACCCCTCACAAAATAAACACAGCTTCTTCCCAGGTTGTCACTTTGATTTGGTTTATTTTACCTGAGGCACAGATCTGACTTCAGCTGTATTCCATTTGAGATTTGAAGTAAATTGAGATTCTGCTTTAGTCATATTAATTCATTTTAGGCCCTGCACTTCTCAACCTAAGGGTCTGTACTCTGTGAGGTAGATGGCTTAGTTGTAAAGTAAAATGAACACCATACATTATAATATATTTCAAAGCATCTTGAATTTGTTTTTTGCTTCCAAATATTTTCTTCCATTTTGCTAATGCTAACATTTAGTAACTATCGTGATGATGCGAAAGCTGTTTGGTTTTATCATTCTAATGATTCTGAAGGACTGTTATAAAGGTGAAAATGAAAGGAAGCAGAAGCGTAATACATGTATAGTTTCCTTGAAAGGCTCTGTTTCTTAAAGAAGTTGAACTAATTTATATTTAATGTGTTCTTTTTCAGTATTGTGCTTCTGCTAAGCCAGAAACAGTCACTTGAAGAGCTGAAACAGTCAGTCCAGCAGTTGAGATGCACTGAGGCAAAGTTTACAGCACAGAAAGAATTACTAGAACAAAAAGTACAAGAAAACGATGGGAAAGAGCCACCTCCAGTAGTAAATTATGAAGAAGATGCACGATCAGTTACATCTATGGTAAGCCAAAGAGTAATCAAATGAGAAACTTGAAAGAGAAGTATCTAGGTAATAAATGAATATAAAAATTAATTCTTTTGCTATGACAAATTGTTTTTCTTGTTAATATGCAGGCCCTGTTAAACTTGTTTGTAAATGTAAAATAGATTTGTCAGTCATGTCAGGTCACCTGGAGAACATTTTTGGGAACCACCTGTAGAGTCAGAGGAAAAGCTCTTCTCTGGCCTTTAAAACTGAATACAAAGACTGCAAATGTTTTTATTCCTGGAAGACAGAAGGTAGGGTGTTATTACTAAGATAGAAGTAAGAAATAAGGAGAAAGCTATTTATTATTTTTTTCTTCTTAAGAACAGTAAAATCTTATTTGTCTGAGATTGATGATATATTTATTATTTTCACAACACATCTGATTTTGTTTAAAAATAGATTTTTTTTTACTTACATTCTTAAACTACAGTAAACACATTCAAACCCACCAACTAGAAATTCAACTACATTTTATATTTTCATGACCTATTTAAGAATGCCTAGTATAAATACTTTCCCTCCCCTTCTCTCCCTTCCTCCCTCCCTCCCTCTCTTCTTTTCCTTTTTTCCTTCTTCCTTTCCATCTTAGGTTGGTGGTTCTCACCAAGAGGACAGTTTTGCCCTCCAGGGGACATCTGGCAATGTCTCCAGTTATTTTTGGTTGTTACAGTTAGTGGTATCTGATGGGTAGAGGCCACTGATGCCTCTAAACATCCTATAATGCACACGACAACCTTTGCCTTCATATTCCCAACAAAAAAGTATCCAACTCAAAATATCAGTAGTGCCCAGGCTAAAAAAGCCTGAGGTATGTCCTTGGCTTTTTCTGTGAGTAGCTGTATGTGGTCCATAAATAGAACTATCATAGTTGATGATGCTATAGCTGATATTTTAGTCATTTTTAGTTTACGTGGTTCTGAATAGTATAACTTGATTATTAAACATATTCAGATGTCTCTATTGAAAGAAAAGGCAGTATTTGAAAATGTGATAAATGAATATGAAATATTTAAATTATTATGGTTGTTCCCATTTTTGTTATTAATTGAGCGGTGTTAATCTGTAAGTTACATGACTCAAATTAATGGCAGTGTTAACCAATACACTTATGCTTCAGTAGTGAATGCTTTTGTGGAGGAGTGCCTTAAAGAACTGTACCACTAAGATGGGCCACAGATTATGTATTCATTTAAAAAAATTTTTTTTAATGTTTATTTATTTTTGACAGAGAGACAGCTTGAGTGAAGTGGGGGAGGGTGAAGAGAGAGAGGGAGACACAGAATCTGAAACAGGCTCCAGGCTCCGAGCTGTCAGCACAGAGCCCGGCGTGGGGCTTGAACTCATGGACAGTGAGATCATGACCTGAGCCGAAGTCAGATGCTCAACCGACTAAGCCATCCAGGCGCCTTGATTGTGTATTCTTATACATGTGATTAAAATGTATAATCAGAGTTAGGATTGTATAGTCAGGTTCTTAGAGGTGTTGATGTTTATTTTGGCTCTAAAATTCAATTACAGTGAAAGCCCATCTATTTATTTACAGAAATCTAAAAAAAAAATTGTGGAGACAGAAAACATAATCATCTCTGTCAGGAGAAGCCATCTTAATGTCTTTTTTTTAAAACTAGGTCTAATTTTGGCCAAAATTCCAAGGAGAGTATGATAAATATTAAGTACTGTGCAAAAATTCTCCATTGTCTGGGCATAAGTATGTTTCATTTATTCATTTGAGCAATATTTATTGAGTCAAGCACATTTCTAGATGGCTTAAGATACATCAGTGAATAAAACTAATTAAAAAAAACCTCTCTTAGAGGTCACATTCTGTAGTGAGTGGCAGTTAATAAATGAGTAATAAACTATATACTATTTTGGAAGATTCTAAATGCCAAGAAATAGAAACAGAGCAGGGTAGAGGGTTGGGGGTCTAGAAGTTGGGACACAATTTTAAATCCAAGTCAGAATAACCATCACTGGGTAGTTGACATTTGAACAAAGACTGGACACAAGGAGCTACTACACCCCTTCGTTTCTGGGGAAAGAGCGTTTCAGTCAGAGGGTGCACCTGTTGCACAGGCTATAATGCAGGAGCATGTTGGACTATTCAAGGTATGATTAAGGAAGTCTGAGTGGAGGGGAAGGTGAGAGTATGGGGAATGAGATTAGAGAAGTATTAGGGAATAGACCTTGGGGCTTTGTGGACCATAATTAAGGCTTATGACTTTTCTCTGAGTGAAATGGGAAGCCACTAGGGTGGAGAGTAATAACAGAGGAATGACATGCTCTGACTTTTTATTTAGATGGATTGCTGCAGCAACTATGTTGAGAATTTACTTAAGGGAATAAGGATGGAAGAATGAGATTATTGCAGTAACCCACATTATAGAAGATCATGGTTTGGGCAAGGATGGTAGCATGGGAAGTAGCAAGAAGTGTTTAGCTTCTGGATGTATTTTGAAGGTTGAGCCCAGGAGATTTCCTATGGATTAAATGTGAGTTATGAGAGAGAATAGTCAAGGATGATTTTAAGGTTTTTAGCAGGAGAACTACAGGAATACAATTTGTTTCGAGTGAATGGAAAGATATACCTAAGTAGCTATGATGAGGCAGAGCAAGATTTCAGTTTGTCTTTCTAAAAAAACAAGTCATTGTCAAAATTTGGTATTTGGGCCTTGTGTTCAGGAGTGCGATTTGGATTGGAGATATAAATTTGAGAGTCTAGGTATCACATGGTATTTAAAATCATTTGACTAGGGATGCCTGGGTGGCTCAGTCGGTTAAGCATCCGACTTTGGCTCGGGTCATGATCTCACAGCTGGTGAGTTTGAGCACTGCATGGGGCTCTGTGCTGAGAGCTCAGAGCCTGGAGTCTGCTTCAGATTCTGTGACTCCTTTACTATCCTATATGATAATAAGTATTATCCTATATGTACCAGGACCCTTTCTTGATTCTTAATAACTATGTGTATATGCATTCTTACAGAGGAACTTCTGAAGTTTTTTCTTTTACTTGGGTTTTGAAAATCTTAGCTAGTAAATCTTTTGTTCTCTGAGTAGTTTATAATATTTCCTTGTCTCCATGTGGGTGATTCTGTGTCTCCCTCTCTCTCTCTGCCCCTCCCCTGCTCACGCTCTGCCTCTCTCTCTGTCTCTCTCTCTCTCAAAAACAAATAAACATTAAAAAAATAATAAAATCATTTGACTATAGGCAGTCACCAAGTGAGAGAGAATAGAGAAGAAAAGAGAATCAAGGACTGAACTCTGGGGCACTTCAAGTTAGTTGGTCTAGAAAAGGAAGACCTGGTGGGAGACTAAGGAGTGACCAGTGAGGTAGTAGGAAATCAAGGTAATTTGGTGTCCTTCAAGTATTCCAAGGAGAAATGAGTTCCAGAATTTGGGACATGCTGGATTAAGGCAAAAGAAACCTTTGTACTAACTGCAGGTTTTTTGGAACTTTTAATATCCATTGCCTATGAAGGGAAGTATAGCATGGGATGTAGTGTCTCTGAAAATATTGACCTAATTCCTTTTCAGAGAGTATCCTAAAGGGACCATAGTGCAATGGAATATACTTTGGGAAATACTGAATTAGAAGAGAAATCCTTTCTTTTCTGATTGGGTTGTTGACAGATTAAACGTGCTGCTGATAATTCTAAAGGCATTTTGAGTTGTCTAAATGTTCTCTAAACCCAAGGATTATTTTATTTTATTTTATTTTATTTTATTTTATTTTATTTTATCCTTCAATTCTAGCTGTGCAGGACAGAGGAATTTGCCTTTTGGAAAATATTAGGAAGGGAACTCTTTGTTGACTGTCCTTGGATACTGATGGAAATACCAGAATTTTCTAATCCCTGAGTATCATTAGCTGACTTTACTATTTTTAAAATTAATTAATTAATTAATTTAAAAGTATCACCTTTCTTCATGTTTGCTTTTAGTTGTCTAGATGTAAGAACGTAAGCTTTCAATCAGTATCTGTTGAGTTGAGGAAATCGATTTTATTTTCACTCCAGAGTAATCTAGTTGTTTTACTTTATAATAGCATGTGCTATGCACCAAATATGATAATTTTTGTTGAATCTTTCTTATATGTCGGATATATCTAGAATTGATGGTACTATATAATGAGTTCTTACTTTTTAAATATGGTTAGCTATTCTGAAAGATAATTGCCTTTACTTTGATGTTTCTGAAATTGCACATTTTTAAGCTCTTTTGCTAGACTAATATGCAATATATATTTATCTTCTCTGCAAATCTTATTGAGTAAGTTCTGCTTAGTTGAACAGCACTATCAATAAAATCCTGTTTTGTTATATTTACAACCAACAAAATATATGGTTTGTTGACTAAATATTGTCTGTCATTATGACTCAGTAGTAGTCCATTTTACAGTACTGTCTGATATTTTCAATTTTATACTTAAACACTGAAATGGACTGACTATCAGTTGAGGTTGACAGCATCATTGAAGCTTTTTCTGTTTTCATTATCAGGTACACTTTCTTTCTTTAAATGCAAATTCAAAGACTTGCTCATCAAATACATTGAGAAAAGTATGAGACAAAAAATCAGGAGACCCGAATTGAGCTTTGCCTCTGCTTTGTAACCACAGTCAGTTTCCTTAACATTTCTGAGTTTTCCTTTCTGTAAAATGAGGAAATGAATATATATCCACCTTGCCTGATAAGATTTCTGACACTGAAATGAGATAATGTATATGAAGTGTTATTAAAACATGGGTTTTATTTCAGTTTTTTCTATAATATACCTTAGTTCACATGTAAATTAGTAGATACTGAGTTATAATTTATAGAATTTTCTGTAGGATTATCTTATGTATTTCTTATTTATAAAGGCAAAGCCTTAATTAATTTCTCTGAGTACATAGTAGTACATGTACATGTACAAATAAAGGGGTCTTTGTGTCTCTTTTTTAGTTTCCCAGTTTTCTACCTCAGAGGTAACCT